TGTTACTGGAAAAAAAAAATCAGTGTATTAAGTGGACCCTCACAGTTTTAACCCCTTGTTGTTCAAGGATCAACTGTGAATTGTTGCTGGGATTAAAAAAGACACCTTTGGAAAATGATCTGGTAGTTTCTTACACAACCAAATATACACCTACCCTATTGCTGAGCAATTCCACTCAATGAAAACATATGACCACAAAAAACCTGTACAAGAATCTTCACAGTTGGAAACAGCTAAGGTGTCATCAACTGTAGAACAGCCAGCAAAGTATAATACAGTCAAACAGTAAAATGATACTCAAAATTAAGAAATAAACTAGTAATACCCTGCCCTGGCTGGGTGGCTCAGTTGGTTAGAGCTTCATCCTGTGCACCAAAAGGTTGTAGGTTCGATTCCTGCCCAGGGCACATGCCTAGGTTGTGGGTTTGATCCCCGATAGGGGCATATACAGGAGGTAACCCATCAATGTTTCTCTCTCTCTCTCTCTGTCTTTCCCTTCCTCTTTCTCTAAAATCAATAAAAATATATCTTCTGATGAGGATTAAAAAAAAACAACAACCAATCAACCAACCATCCAACCAATCAGTAATAACACAAGGATGAATCTTAAACTTTATACTGACTGAAAGAACCTTGCAGAAAATAATACACACTTCCCTAACAGCCCTGGCTCAGTGGCCCTCACTGATGTGGTTCAGTTGGGCATCATCCCATAAACTGAAAGTCACTGGTTTGAGTCCTGGTCAAGGCACATGACTGGGTTGCGGGGCCAGGTCCTTGGTTGGGGGTGCTCAAGAGGCAACTGCTCTGTGTTTCTCTCCCTCTCTGCCTCCCTCTGTTCCCCTCTAAAAACAAACAGAATCATAAAAAAAAAATACACCCTGTATGACTACTTTAAGTCCTAATGCCCTGTACCTAAGAATGTGACCTTATTCGGAAACAGGGTTGTTGTAGATGTAATTAAGTTGAGTTCATATTGGAGTAGGGAGGGCTTAAATCAATACCACTAGTGTCCTCATAAGAAAGAAACACAGAGAGGAGATGCAAGAAATGGCCATGTAAAGACAGAGACACACTGAAAGAAGGCCATGTGACTTGAAGGCAGAGACTGGAGTTATGCAGCTGCAAGCTAGGGAACATCGTGGACTATCAACAACACCCAGAAGCTATGAGAATGGCATGGAACAGATTCTCCCCTTGACTCTTCAAGAGGACATGTCCCTCATACAGATGGCCAATAGACATATGAAAAGATGCTCAATGTTACTAATTGTAAGAGAGATGCAAATTAAAACCACAGTGAGATATCACCTCACACCTGTTAGGATGACTGTCAACAAATTCACAAACAAGCACTGGCAAGGTTGTGGAGAAAAGGGAAGCTTTGTGTACTGTTGGTGGGAATGCAGCTGGTGCAGCCACTGTGGTAAACAGTATGGAGGCTCCTCAAAAATTTAAAAATGAAGGCTTTATGACAAAGCAATTCCACTTCTATTCTTGAAAGAATATATATATGCACTCCTATGTTCACTGCATCATTATACAATAGCAAAGCTATGGAAGCTTCCCAGGTGTCCATCAATAGAAGATTGGATAAAAAACCTTGATACTTACATACAATGGAATGTTATTCAGCCATAGAAAAGAATAAAATCTTACCATTTGCAACAGCATTGATGGACCTGGAGGGTATTATGTTAAGTGAAGTCAGTCAGTCAGAGACACACAAATACCATCTGATTTCACCTCTATGTGGACTTTAAAGAACAGTCTAAATGAACAAACAAAACAGAAATAGACTCATACATACAGAGATCACACTAAACTGATGGTTGCCAGAGGGAAGGGGATTTGAGGGAAAGGTGAAGAGACTGAGAAGTATAGATTGGTAGTTACAAAATAGTCATGAGGATGTACAGGCAGCAGAGAAAATAATAGTCAATAATAGTATAATAACTATATATGGTACCAGGTGGGTACTGAAAATATTAGGAAGAACACTTTGTAAAGTATGATTGTCTAACCACTATGCTGTACACCTGAAACTAATCAAAATAATATTAAATGTAAATTGTAACTGAAAAAAAATTTTTTTTAATTGAAGAGAACATGTCCCCACTGAAACCCTGATTTTGGACTTTTAGACTCCAGATTTATGAGAAAATAATTTTGTATAACCAGCTACCTAGTTTGTGGTACTTTGTATGGCAAGCCCAGGAAACTCATAGAATTCCACTTATATTGTAATATGAAATTCTAGAACAAACAAAACTATCTATGGTAGAAAAAAAGAGAAACAGTGGTTGACTTTTGGGTTATGGGAGTAGGAATTAACAGGAAGGGATATGAGGGCATTTTCAGGGGTGATGGTTCTGTATTACAGAAGTTTATATTACAAAGGGTTATTTATGTGAACACTCATCGAAGGTACAATGAAGATTTGTGCATCTCATTATATGTGAATCTTATATGAAAAGAAAAAACTATAATTTAATAATATCTAATAATATATATACTTATATATCTAAGGGTCAGTAAAAGAAATGAAAAAATAAGACTAATGGATAGATGAAGAGCTATGTGGCACACCAAGTATAGTAAAATGTTAATAGTCATTGTTTAACGGATATGGAATTTCAGTTGGGAAGATGAAAAATTGTGGAGAGAGATGGTGGTGATGGTTACACACCAATGTGAATGTACTTAATGCCACTGGACTGTACTTAAAAATGGTTGAAATGGTAAATTTATATATAATTTACCACAATTAAAAAAAACACACTAAGATACAATTTCACATTTATTAGGATGGTTATGGGGGGAAAAAAGAAAAAGAACAAGTGAAGAAAGTGGAATCATTATACATTGCTGGTGAGAATGTAAAATGGTGCAGCCATGTGAAGTTTGGCAGTTCCTCAAAAAGCTAAACATAGAATTACCATATTACCCAGCAATTCAGAACTGACAACATATTCAAATACTCGTCCAAAAGGTAGAAACAATCCAAATATCCATCAGTGGATGAAAAGACAGATAAAATATATCCTTAAAATGACCCTGACCAGTGTGGCTCAGTTGGTTGGGTCCTGCAAAGCAAAAGATCTCCTGTTCGATACCCAGCCAGGGCACGTGCCTGGGTAGTGGGTTGGGTCCTGGCCGAGGCACATGTGAAAGGCAATTGATCGGTGTTTCTGTCCCTCTTTTTCCCTCCCTTCCTCTCTCTAAAAGTATTTTTTCTAAATAAAATATACAGCACACCAAGATTCAAAACAGCCTTAAATATATATAAGGATATATATATATATATGTATATATATACATATATACATATATATGTATACATATACATACATATATACATATATATACATATATATATATATATCCATCCCTAAAATACTCAGCTCTAAAAAGGAATACAGTATTTAAAAAAAAGATTTTATTTATTTATTTTCAGAGAGATGGGAAGGGAGGGAGAAACAGAGAAACACTGATATGCGAGAGATACATCAATTGGTTGCCTCTTGAATGCCCCCAACTGGGGACCTACCTGGCCCGCCAGGCATGTGCCTTGGCTGGGAATGAAACCAACGACCTTTTGTTGGTTCACAGGCTGATACTCTGTGCACTGAGCTGCACCAGCCAGGGGAAGGAATAAAGTATTGGTACATGCTACAATGTGCATGAACCTTGGAAACATTATGACAAGTGAAAGGAGCCAAACATAATAGATCACATATTGTATGTGAACACACTTATAGAAAATATCTAGAACAAGAAAATTCATAGAGGCAAAGTAAATGAGAAAGGTGGGGAGAGAATGGGGAGTCACTGCTTAATAGTTAAAAAGTCAGGGATGATAAAAGTGTTTTAGAAACAGTTGGTGGTAAAGATTGCACAACCTTGTGAATGTAATTAATGCCACTGAATTATACACTTAAAAATGGTTAAAATAAGCCCTAGCCAGGTAGCTTAGTTGGTTAGATGTTGTCCTGTGATGCCAAGGTTGTGGGATCAATCCCTGATCAGGGTCCATACCTGAAATAACCACTGAATGCTTAAATAAGTGGAACAATAAATGGATGTTTCTCTCTCCTGCCCCTCCCTCTCTCTAAAACTAATAAATTTAAAAAATTTTTAATGGTTAAAATAAAAAATAAAAGTAGTTAAAATAGCAAATTTTATGCTATATATTTTACCACAATTTTGTAAATATAATGTAAAATATCAAAAATCATTGAATTGTACTTTTTAAATGGATCAATTATAGGTAATACTTCAATAAAGCAGTTTTAATAAAAGATAACTACTGTTAAAAATATGACAACAGCAAAATTTGCTGTATATACATTTACTACAAAAAAAATAATTCAACAACAACAAAAAGGCAAGTACACCTGAGCACAAACACCACATTGAGACAAAAAAACATTTGCATAGCTTACTGATCCACATAAATGATCGAGATGCTACAGACAACTGTTCCATTTGGGGCACACTCCATAGCTGCCGAGTTCACACTGTGGAGAGCTTTAAATAAAAATGGCCTAAGCAGAGGGAACTGGTAACAGAAAGCTACTTTAGGCTCAAAGCATGCTTAAGATGGAAACTTAACAGCAAGTAAGTTAGAGAAAGTAAGTGAAAGTAAAAGAAATACTAACAGGAATCCGGTCCTTTCCTTACCTCTGTTGTTGCTGTACTACCACTATTGCTCAGCTGAACATTTATACAAACATAAGAATAAAGACTCTATGTGAGCAATTCTTTTGAGTTTTCCTTTTTTTTTTCCTTTCATTTTAACCCAACAAACACCAATTGAACACAGCCATCTTGTCACTGACTTTGGGGCCCAAAGAACCCAGCCTCCCTCCTCCCGTTAATAATTTAGATAAATACTAATCGGACTTTCAATTTTAGCCTTTTAAAAAATGGATTAGTAGTCATTCATTTTTTAAAAGATTTTGGTTTTTTAGCCACCAAACACGCTGGGTTTTACTCACCGATTTCTTCTGATCCTTGCCCAGAGGCTCTAATCTTGCATTCCTCTGGATAGTGCTTTTTGATTATCTCCCACAGTTTCTTATTGATGAGAGAATTTCTTCGGGCATGGTACCGGGTCCACGAAGAGACCCGGCGGCGACAGAAAGGACAGCATAAACTCGCCTTTTCCACAGTCAATTGGAAGCATGCATTACAGACAGTGTGATTACAGGGCAGTGTTACGGGTTCAATCAGGATTTCCATGCAGATCCCGCACTGGCATTCCGACAAGGAAGGGATGGCGTCTTTAGGTACAGCCATTTCAACATGCTAAAAAGGCATATTTCAACATCAACACCCGAAAGACAAAAATAGTATTTCGGGCCCAACCAAGGAGAAAGGAAATTAACAGTTTTATGTTTAAATATTATGCCAAGCAGTTATCAGAATTCAAATATTGGAAGCATCAAACACGTCTTGAAGCAAAAGTTGCCCTTACGGACTACGTAAACACTACTCTGAAGGCGGTGTGTTTGTCCATGTTTAAGACAAACGTCTAGTAAGAAAATAAATGAACGTTCCCGCTGCTCCGAGGTATTAAGTTTCTGCAGTGCAGCTGGTGGGCTGGTCTTTGGCACCGCGGGAGATACGCGCCAAGTTTCCCTTCTCCCTCTTACCAGGTGAGGATGCTCCCTTTGCTGCCCGGGGGGCAGCCTCAGGGCCACCGCTTCCACCTGGGGACTGCTGGCTCCACTGGAGCAGGATTTCCGTTTTACCGGTGTAGTGAGGGCAGCGTAGGAACCCCGGTGCTCCAGCTTTCCAGCGTCTCCTGGAACTCCGAAGCCACCCCTTCGCCCTTCTTAGGGCTAGCTGAAAAGCTTAATCATCGCGGTGTGCCGTAGCCACCCACCAAGGGCGAGTGGCGTCACAATTGCCCGCCGAAACAGGTCCCGCCCTCCCAGAGAACCGCCCAGTGACCGGGACCAAGAACGCTCTGTGAGGCGGGACTTCCCGGGCTTGAGCGCACCGGTGGTTGCACCGCCCATCGCTGCACCGCCCTTCGTTGCACCGCCTCCAGAGAGCAACGCCCCTGGTTGCTCACGGGTCGCAGCACTTCCTGCTTTAGCTTGGGTGCCGTGATCTCTCACAGGTTGCAGAAATCAGGAATTGCCATCGGTGGACAGAAAGGGGAAACCTCCTAGCAAGGTTTAGAAATTCTTCCCTCAGTACTCCTCAAACTCCCTTTCTGTTTCTGTTAACTTGTAACTAAGCCTCTTAAATTGCTATCCAGAGTTCCGAGATTGCTCTCCAAGAAAAGGTTGTGCCTAGAGAATCAGCAAACTTGTACAATTTATAGAGACCCTTACACTTCCCTTCGTAGCCCCACCCGTTCTTCTGCCTGCAGCTCAAAGATTGGTTGTTTCAGGATTGCCTTCCTTCCTAAGCACTTGGGAAACAAACTGCAGGGCTGTCTGAGGCTCAGTAGTCATGTTCATTGTATATGATGTAGTATTCCATTATTAATGAATCTAGAACAATCAAAATTGTTCTAGGAGGCCAAAATAATGTAGTTTAACATTTTATGAATTTTGAAATAAGTTTTTCCATTTGGCATTAAGTTTTTGTACGGACAATGTAGTCTACTGAATTGAATACTATGAAAAATATATTTTGTCTGGGAAATGGCAAATTAAGACTGTGATTCTTAGTACTTTAAGAGAACCAAGCCTCTGGACAGGGGAGGGGGGAGGCGTTCTATGGAAAGTAAACTCCAGGGTGATCTGATCACCAATTCCTAATGCAAGTCATGGGGGTAGTCCCACCCTAGGCTCTATCGTTTTACTAAAAGGTTTTATCTTTACCTTAAGTAAGTAATGGCCATTGTTTCTGTGCATCTAGGTTAACTCACTTTTGAAATAGATGTAACACCCTCAAGAGAGCACATAATCTTGTTAGCTACTCTGTAATCCAACAGGTGCCTTGCTTTCTCCCACCTTCATGCAGTCTTCATTACTGTTCCCTCCTTCATTTCAAATGCATAAAAGAAGCTACAAAACTCTTACTCTCTAGAGCATTTGAAGTCTTGCTCCTTGGCATATGTTGTCTGTTTGGCTCAAATAAACTCATAAAAATTCTCTGCAGTTTTGGATGTTCTTATGTCAACAGCTCGTAGAGACAAAAAACAGAATGTTGTTTGCCAGGGTCTGGGAGAGTTATTGTTTAAAGGATATAGAGTTTCAGTTTTATAAGTTCTAGACCTGGATGGTGGTGATGATTATGAAACTGGAAAAGTCTATGTTCATGCTGCCTGTCACTACCAGAACCAGTAAGTAGAGACAAGGATTGAATCTTTATGGGCGCTTTATTCAGATGCTGGCAGTCTGAGAAGATGGCAGGTTATGCACCCTCCAAAACCATCTTCACATCTCATCTCCAGCCAAACTTTTTTATTAGGAGAAGGAAAGGGTAGGTAAGGGGTATGGGAAAGGGTTAATCAGATAAGAGTTGCCGTTCAGTGGCAATATTCCTAGTATTCTTCATCTGCTAATCAACAATTTTTTATGTCATGAGCCTTCTCTTCCTGGAACACAGTTGCTTAGATACCATCTTGATCCCTCGCAGACCTCCTGGGGCACAAGGGTTGAATTGCTTGCCAACAAACACCCTGGAGTCCCATAGGTCATGGCAGTTCCTGGAATAACAGCTTTAGACATGCATTAATTAAGTCTATTAACTATGACTGAAGCTAAAATATTTTGTATATACTCTTTATTATATTTTTTCCATTACCATTTAGTCCCCTTATACCCTACCCACGAAGCTAAAATCTTTAACTCTTGAGTTCCCCTATCATTTATACACCATTATGAATGTATTTAATACCACTGAACTGAACACTTAAAACTTACTGCAGAGACAGGAGTTGGGGGGCTTTTCCTCAGTTGATGTCTCCCTTGTGAGAGATGAATTCAGGCAAGAGAGAACATGTATAGTGGAAATAAGATAGCAAGTGTAATTATGAAATCACTTGAGCATGAAGTTGAAAGTGGGCACCGAGCTAGTCTGAGTTCCCTGACTCTTGGAGTTTTAGAGGTTTTATGCTTGTAGCCAGCTTCTAGGTTCCCATCCTCTTCCCTTCTCTGGACCTTGTGATCAAAATACAGTCCCAAAGGCTTTCTTAGATGGTGGAAATGATACATACAGAATTTCAAAGGCTCCCCTTTTCCTGCGCTGTCATAGTTTTTCTTGTGATTTTCAAAACACTTGGCAATCTTGTTTGATCAGGCTCAGGACTACTGAGTTAGTGGGTGAGACATGTCTCCTTCCCCCTCCCTACCTTGATTTGCTATCTATTCTGCCTAACAAAACTAGTTAAGATGGTAAATTTTATCTGTATTTTATCACAATAAAGAAAGCTGGGGGTTGGGTTGGAAAGAACCAGGCCTGAGTTTTTTGAGGAAATCAACTGTAGAGAAGAAGAGAAAAGAAAATCACTGTGCATGAAAATAGTCTTTAAAGTTTTTTGGGTTTGCCGAAGTCTTTCAGATTGAGGAGATGAGTGGTTTCCAGATGGAGTCACAACAAGGACATGTAGGTCCTTGGTAGAGAGCTTTGTTTTGTTTTAATATGGGTTCAGAAACCTTTGATTGCCCTCCGGTTGTCCATAGTATCAATCCATTAGCCCAGAATTAAAGCTCCCTATGGTGGTTCTAAACTGCTTTGCCCGTGGAATCTTCCATTATTCTTTGAAACATTCAACTGTGTTCTATTTGCTGTCATCTTATGCTTTCAGGTCATTGCTTTCTCAATCCATCCTAAATGAGTGGTTTGTGACTTGCCTGCTTCAAGGATCAACTCAGTACACTTTTTAAGGAAGTATTTTTCCATCACATAGTTACACCCCTCCTCTGAATTCACCCAAATCATATATCCCTTAGTGATAGTGGTTTTTATCATAAAGTCAATTTTTGTATTGAAAAAATGCTTTTATCCTCATCCAATGACATTTTTTAGTTGCTTTTTAGAGAGAGAAAGGGAGGGAGAGAAACATTGATGCAAGAGAGAAGCATCATCTGGTTGCCTCCCCAACACGCCCAGACAGGAGATCGCTTGTGTCTGGATTGGGGATCATATGTGCCCAGACCTGGTACCGAACTCGCAACCTAGGTATGTGCCCTGACCATGGATCGAACCTGCAACCTTCTAATTATGGGATGACGCTCCAACCAGCTTAGCCACACCTGCCATGGCTAATTTTGCATTTTGATTCTATTTTTTAAAATCTTCTATAATGGATACATTTTATATGCTTCCTCAGATTTCCTTGGCCTTGATTACTTTCTGGACCCTCTGTCCCTTGGTCTGCCTGGGGCTGACCAGTTGCATTCCTGGAATCTCTATCTCTTCCTGCCACTTGCAGACTCCTGTGAAACACTGCACTGAACAGTGCAGTGTCTGACTTTCCAGTGGCTGCTGGAAGGGCTTAAATGCTGCATCTTGGAAGTATGGGTTGTCATTCCCCATGGAGCAAACTGGCCAATTGAAAAACAGCACAACAGAGAAATTTCCTTCTTTTTTTCAAGGCATGGTTTCTTCAAACTGTGTCTGAAGAAAGACCAGATTGAAGGGATGTATCTGCCAAGGAACCTGCTGTTTCTTGTCACTCATTTTCAGTGAGAGGCCAACAAGGTAACATATCACCTTATATGACTTCTTATTCTTTTCTCCCTGACATCCTTCCAGAGTGTTACCTCACTCTTGCTGTTCTGAATTTGTACCTCCCAAACAAAGGCTCAGCATTTAACCTGCAGCACTTAGCACATGGCATTTGGTGTTCAATAAATATCATAAATATATGATCAATGTGTGTGAGTTCCCTTTCTAGTATAAATAACTGTGTTACTGTATTAGAGAGAAACTGTACATCACATGCAATATATATTAGGTAATTTTTATTGTTTTGTCTTTTACTAGATAATACATTGACATTGTTCAAAAATTCAAAATGTATGCACGGACTAACAGTAAGAAGACTTCCTCCTACCTTTGACCCCTTAGCTTCTTAGTTTTCTTCCCTAAGACAACCAATGTTATCACGTTCTTATGTATTCTCCAGAAGAAGTTTATGAAGTTTATGGATATATTAGCTTATATATGTGTATATACATATTTGTGTTTGTCCCTCTTTACATTTAACAATATATATTGAAAATAAATATTTTAAAACAGCATATCTTTGTGATAACTCCACATCATCCATTATGCAATTAAAACACAGAGATTCTTCATTTTTAATATAGTTACACAGAAAGTATCCATTTATCAATTTATCATAATTTATCTAATAGTTCCCCAACTTTTGCTATAAAAATAAGTCCATAACAAAATTGTATGTACATATTTTTCCCTATTTGCAAGATAAATTACTGGAAGTACTGTATTTTTCAGACTATAAGACACACCATTTCCTAAAATTTGGGAGGAGAATGGGGGTGCGTCTTAGACTCCGAATGTGGCTTTATAGTTACATTGGTGAAATATTATCTTACTTATTAAATATTTTACCACATTTTTTGCCTCAATTTTTTTTCCTATTTTCCTCCTCTAAAACCTAGGTGTGTCTTATGGTCCAAAAAATATGGTAGAATAGCTTGGTCATAAGATAACAGGTTAGTTTTTGACTGTTGGTATCAACTCTTTCAGGGATGACCTTTGCTCTTCAGAGGCTTTCACTGCTTTCCCCTTCTCAATGAGCTGAACAGCTCTCAGCAAACTGTCCTGCAAAGCCTGGTTCTTTACCATGTTGGTGATCATGAAAGTGACATCCCTAATGTACATCTGTCTCACTTTGGCACTGTAGTGTTCTGCCTTGTTACCATGTGCAATAAAGAAGGTACAAAGTGCTGTGATATCACTTTCTTGCAGCCCATACTCCTCCAGGACTGACTCCCACACAACTCTGATGCACCTGTTCTTGACTTTTCGTCGAAGGACAGAGGCTAAGGTGGGAAGACCACTCACCAGGTCTGGTAGCTTCTCAAGTACATGAGTGTGCAAGCAGATAAGAACTTCAATGACGTAGCTATATACAATATTCAATTCCATTGAAGTGAACCTACAAAAAAGGGAAGAGCTTCTAAAGCAGTAGAACACTTTATGTTCAACTATAGAGTTAATTCTATTAGAATAACTCAGAGAAGTACACATCCACTAGGAGAACCAGCTATTGTATTTTAGAAAATACTTTAGAAACAAGACCTGTGCTAAACTGGGTACCTCAATTCTCTGGCCACCCATACTATAAGTTTCTCAATGGTAGAGGAGTTATATTATCCATCTCTGAGAGACTTTGGCAAGCGAGAGACTATGATGAAATGAGTACTACAGTGCCTGGCATATAAACAGGTGTTCAAATTAATCTTTTTTGAATGTATGAACCTAAGAATATGTGATCTCTTCACGGTCCATTGCTGGAACTGTATTAAGAAATTCAATTTTAGAATGACCATTGTAAGCTCTCACAATGCCACAGAATTCCACTGATTTCTCATTGGATACTCACTTGAGTGCCAGAACTGCTGTCCAGAGCTCATCTTGGGCTGCCTGGCTTGCCATCATCTTGCTATGATGTTCAAATTTTTGTGTCAGGTTATCCTTGGTGAAGTCTAGTTGTTTAAACTGTGCTTTTAAAGCTTGGAGTTTGTGGTCTAATCTATAGGATAAAAGAATCAAGGGTTAGGTTAGGTCAGAGACAAAGTTAAGATGATGCCTAAAATGAGACTATATTATTTATAAACATACAATTTGGGTAGCTATTTGCTGTTCTCTGTATCCATCATCCTAGTTCTTGTATTCCTTTTTTAATCATATTTTACTTTATCTTTTAAATTTTTTATTGTTGTTCAATTACAGTTGTCCCTATTTGTCCCCCATTACTCTCCCCTGACCTACCCACCCCCCACCTCCCACATTCAGTCTTCCCCTCCCCCATCATTGTATTTGTCCATGGTTCCTTTATACTTGTTCTTCCACTCTTCCCCTTATTTCCCCTATTTTCCTTCTCCCCCAACCCCTCTGGTTACTGTCAGTTTGTTTTCCTTATTTCAATGTCTCTGGTTCTATTTTGCTTACTTGTTTATTCTATTAATTAGGTTCCACTTATAGGTGAGATCATATGCTGTTTGTTTTTCACCACCTGGCTTATTTCACTTAGCATAATGCTCTCCAGTTCCATCCATGCTGTTCTTATATTGCCAAATTTTTGAATTGTCTGCTTGAATTCATCTGACACGTTTTGACTATGTATTGTACTTTTTACTTTAAAAAGTATATATATATACAAGCATTACTTTGAGTCGCACAACAACTGCAAGAAGTGGTAGAGTCATTTTTACTATTTTACACGTAAAGATATTGGGTATCAAAAAGATTGAGACCTAAGGTCATATAGCTAGCTAGTGCGGGAACCAGTATTGAGTAAGAAGGCTTTCTTCACCCAATTCTGACTGTTCAAATCCTAGCCTTCTTTTAAGGATAGGCTCAAATTCCAATGACTGCTTAATGCCCCGCCCCCTCCCAGCCTTTCTGCCTAAAGATCACCCTGTTTAGTTCATTCTCAGAAAGACTACCTCTATCACCTGTTACTTTCCAACTCCTGCTTCATTTTTAGAGTTAGCTTTCCATGAACAAAATTGTTCATGGAAAATTGCTCTCTTGGAGAGAGGGGTTTAGAGACTATTTCTTGGATATCTTTATACCTGTCTGCCAACACCTAGCAGAGGACTTACACAGGAGTAATAAAATATGTCTTGTATAATTGAAACCTGCAATGTGAGTGAGATGCTGAGCTCTGAGTAACCAAAGGTGATTTGAGTAGCTCTAAACAGCCCTGATCACAAGAGGGCGTGGGTAGCACTGGAATTATGTGTAACTGAACCACAAAGAAACTTTCCTGAAGCCACCCACATTGTCTTCCATGAAGGAAATGATACACAAACACATACCTACTTCCCTGAGCTTCTGTGTCCCCAGTGACCTGAATACTATTGTGGTTATTCAGGTTCTAAGCTTGACCTTTCTCTTAAGGCTAATTCAGCTGCAAGTACCTCCTCTCTCCCAAGCTGTAGCCCTGTATCTTCAACCGTATTTTGTACATTTCCACCTGAATGAGATATCAAGCTAAACTGTCCTAAATTGAATTTACTCACTACCCCCACCACCATCTTTCAAAATTATGATGATAGAATGTTCTCACTGCTATTTACATATAGATAAGTCTCAGTATAAAATGTGCTTTTTTGTAGGACTATAAGCCTGTATGACCTAATATGCTGGCAATCTCTGCCTACACATCAAAAACGTTTTTCTGGCACACTGTTTGTATTAACTTTTAGACCATAGGCTATCTCCAGCTTGAACTGTAGAGAGGAGCTCTAGCTTGTCAATCAGTATAAAAGTTTATAACTACAGCAGTTCTTTGGAGTCCTCTTCACCAAAAGCCATTCCCAGACCACTCCAAATAAATCCTAAAGAACGTGTCTGCAAGTCTGAGTCTGTTTTCTACTACAGTTCCCCAGCTCAGTTAATGACATCACTATCTATTCAATTGCTCGAACTAGAAATCTCAGAATAATTCCTTATTTCCCCTCCCCATGAAGGTCTTTAATCTAACCCTTCTCTCCATTTCCACTAAACCAGTTAATCATCATCTTTCACCTGGACTTAGGATTACAGTGGTCTAGCTGGATCCTTGCCTTCACTTTCTGCCACCTCCAATCTATCCTCCAGAAATATGGTCCTGAAACACACTTCTGATCATGTCCTTCAACTGATTACATACATTTTATGCTACCTTGACTTGCCCAGTGATATCATTAGGACCAAGCTGAACCTCCTCAGCAGGAAGCATAATGTCCTTTACCCTATGGTCCCATCTTCTGCCACCCCTCTTATAGCCTAGTCACCAGTTACTTGAGACCTCTATCTGCTGACTGAATATAGTATGTGATTCCAAGCTTCTATGGCTTACATTGTACTGTTGCCCCAGCCTAGAATTCTGTCCATATTTTTCTTTGTCATAAACTCCTACTCACACTTTAAGATACAGCTTAAATGTCTCTCTATGAAGAGTTCCCCTTCCTAGTATCAAGGAGAAAATTAATTGCTCCTCTCATCATGTTCTCATAGCCCTTTGGAAACATGACCATTTTGGTCATGTTTGACCATTTGGTCAAAATTTTGGTCATTTTTTGATTAATGGTCAATCACATGAAATATTATTTCTGAATACTTTCATTCCTTCAGGACAAAAATGACATTTTACTTATTTTTATATACCTACCATATAGCACATGCATTAATTGAATGGAATTATTCCACCTGGGAATAAATTTTTCACTATTAATTTACATATTTTTTTTACCTAGAAGATTTAAATCACTTTATTTACCTTTTTTCTTTTCTTTTTTTAGAGAAAGAGAGAGAGAGAAGGAGAGAGAAAGAGAAACATCAATTTGTTGTTCCACTTATTTATGCATTCATTGGTTGATTTTTGTATGTGCCCTGACTGAGAATCAAACACACAACCTTGGTGTACCTGGACAATGCTCTAACTAATTGAGCTATCTGGCCAGGGTGAGATTTAAACCACTTTAACAGAGATAGAATTCTAATTGGCATTTTTGTAGTTCTTTCTCTATTTTTATTCCTGATACTTCTCTAATCCATCTTCCCGGAAAAGCAGACCTAGGCTTGCTCCCCCACAGTACCCCCTTTAAGAAACCTTTTCATCGCCTTCTTCAAGGATATCAGGGTTGTGGTTTCATTGTTCATCTTCTTAAGACAAAATGAAAGGAAACAAAAGCAAAACAAAAGCCCAACAGAGGTTTGAATCCACGGTTTTCTGCTGTCTTCCACTCAGCAACAGGCAGCACCAGCACAAGTATTCAACCTAAATTCTGCCTGAAAGGTCACACTCAGTACAAGAAGCTTTTAATAGCGCATACTTCCAAATATAGTTTCAAAGAACTGATCGTGAGAACACAGGTGTCCAAAATGCACTATAATATTTGCCTTTGAAAATGAGCTGTAGCACATCAGCATAGCATAGCAAACAGATGCAATCATGGTTCTATGTATATTCTAGTAAATGTATATACAAATATATAAAAGTAAACATATTGTAGGATTTAATTTGATGGGAACAGTACTCTCAAATCTTAACAACCGAATTAATTCAATTAGCATCTAAATTAGGTTTAAAGGAAGACCCAGACCTTTTGTCATGTATTAGATTGATACTAAAAATCTAACCATTTTTAGAAATGAATAAATTTTTATTGAGAGCTTCTAGTATTAGATTAGGTATGAGAAATAAAAACCAACACAAAACAGGATTCCTGAATTTAAGGGATTTAAACTATAATTGGGGATATAGAACATTACTTGAAAATAAAATGCATATAAAATGTTGTGTGCTAAATAGGTATAGACCATAAAAATAACAGAAGATGAGAGTAGGCTGTACTAACAAACTCATAAATGATTCATGTATTAAAAGTTTCCTTATAAGTATTTTATAGACATCAGCATATGTAGTTCCTGCTTAACCAAGGAATAACCCTGACCACAAGAAATCGGGAAAGCATCAGGGACACATATCAGAACAAGCAGAAGTGCTGCCTGCATGTCTTCTTTGCAGATAATCAGCAGAGAAACTGTAGACAGAGCAATGAAACTACCTGATGTTTCATGCAGGAGATAACATTGAAACCACCCAAGAGTAGAGCTGAGAAAATGCACATCACCAGAAATTCCTTAGTTCCCTTCTTTCCGTGGTTCCCCTATATAAACTAGCCAGGACACCTGAGATGGTAAGATGGCCTTTGAGACAAGAGTCCCCATCTTCTAGGTTGCTGGAATCTGAATCAAATCCCTTTCCTTTACATCAGCATCTACCTCTCAAGTATTGGCTTTAGAAGCAGCAGGCAGCTAGACTTGTATTCGGTTACAGTTTTTGGTGACACAGGCAGGACAGTGTGGATACTAGTAAGGTCCAGATGGCCCCAGCAGGGGTCCTAGCTGCTTGTGGGAGGCAAGGATTGCAGGAATTTCCCAGCAGCTGTCAAGAGTTCTTTATCTCAGTGACACTCTCCGCTCTCCCTCTCCAGGCATCAGCCACCTTTAAATGCTTTGCTGGTGAAAGAAAACAGGTTATTGGTGGGTTTGTTACAGGGTGCAGCCAAGAGGGGGGACCCCAAGTGGGCATTTGAAATGGGGTCCAGAACTTAAGGTGTCCAGGAGATTTTAAGATGTCTCCATCCCCCCACCCAGGGTGTGGATTGGGGGAAGGGACAAATGGAGCAAGGCCATTGAGAGCTGTTTTGCATAGCAACAGCCTTGCAGCTACCCTCTGGCGTGGTCATTTAACATATCTATAGCCTTTGGCTGGTCGCTTAGATATGTTAAATAGCTGTGATCATCTCTGAGCCAGGGGAATGGAAGTAACTTCCCCACCAAGACGTGACTGGGGGCAGATCCCCTGAGCTACAGCGCCTGTGTGGGAGCTCAGAGAAGATTGGCTCCAGGACATGGGGCCACGCCTGCCCAGACTCATGATGGCAGCCCAGTAAAGCTGGAAGGTATGAGTTCTGGCATGTGAAGCCGAGTGTGGGAGGAGTTGGAAATGAGGCTGCAGAGGAAGATTGGCCGCGGGGATTTAAAACCCAGACTTGGCGGCCATTTAGGAGAGAACCACGCAGCTTTGGCAGAGTGAGGACTCTCCCTTTCTGCAGCCCTGAGGGAGGAGAACCATGCTGCTTTAGGAAGGAGAGCCATGCGCAGCCATGAGAAGGAGAGAACCATGTGGCTGTGGAGGTGCAGAGAGGATCACAGCCATTGGAGAGAGAGCCACACAGCTTTAGCAGAGTGAAGACTCCCGTAACCCTGAGAGGAGAGAGAACCATGCTGCTTTGAGAAGGAGAGCCATGCACAGTCCTGAGGGGGAGAACCATGTGCAGTCCTGAGAGGAGAGAACCATGCGGCTTTAGCAGAATGGGGAGGACCTCAGCCATTGGGGGAGAACCGTGCTGCTTTAGGAGAGAGAACCACGAGGCCTGGACAGAGTGGGGACCCCCACAGCTTTAGAAGGGGAACCACCACCTGGTTTTAGCAGAGATCCCGGCGACTCAGCCGAGGGTGCCGGGAACCGAGGGAGGTCTCCCAGTAGAGATGGAGGACTAACTAAGAACCAGAGGACTATCTGAGCCATGGACTTCGTTTTCCTTTCCTGAGATACGGTACTCTGGACTGGGCAAAAAGGGAAGGAAGGAAGGACTGTGTCTGTTTGTGGGTGTTTTAAGGGACTTTAGGATTTTTGATGAAGATATTAGGTCACTACTTGAAGTCTGTATAGCATTAAATAAACATTTCCTTTCCTTTTCACGAATCTCTGGCATTGAGAGATGTCTTTCCTCGGGCGGCGGACGTAACAGACCCGGGGCCTTCTTTCAATAATAGTATATCGTTCCAGGCCCCCTTGTTCTGTTCTGTAACAGGTTGACCAGCCCAAACTGGGTGAAGTCCCTCGTGTGCACAACCAGGAGCCCTCAGCCTCACCATCTGGGTTCTTTGAACTGTCTGGGATAGTGCAGGAATCAATAGGTGTCACACAGCAGTAAGCAATGCTTGATGACTAAGAAAAATCCCAGTTCCCTGGTGTGTGATTTGGAGCATGCTTTTAGTGTTCTGATTTATGGATTTGGGGGTTTTGAATATTTGTTCCATTTGAAAGCTTTCATCTGTTTGTTCTGTTTGGGAGGTCTGTGAGAACTCTTGTCTGTCTGAAATGAAACTTTGGTTATGGTTGTTCTTTGCTTGCTATCTTATCTTTTAAGGGTTTGGCTTGCTCTTTGTTGTTTGTTCACACAAGGAATCCTCTGTCTTTGTCATCTGGGTGTTGTGTCACTTAAAGCTTGTAAACATCATTTGCACTAATGTCCTAGTCCCTCCTTTTAGAGGAATTATTTGGAGAGTACTCATTTGTTTGAGGTTTGTCTTAGCTTTAGATGTTGTTTTGTTTCCATTTTGAAATGGGCAACTCAGTCTCAGTTCCATCAGAAAATTCATTAGGTCGCATTTTAGCTGACTATGCAATTTACAGCTACAAGTCAATGACTAATTAGAATTTTTTACCAAAGTTCTGGTAAATGGGATAAGATCTCTTATGTGTAAGCTTTCATGTTGTTACATCATAAGGATTGTACTTACAAAGGATTTAAATTAATGATTAAAAAGGAGAAAGATCTCATACCCCTCCTAGACTGTAAACTCAGAAAGAAGAAAAATGAGGAGATAGGTCTTTTAAACATTATGAATCCTTCTCCTAGAGGCATGGGAGCTGTGATGTATAGGGAACTGGTCAGTGTGGCAGTGGCAAATGTAGCCCAGCCCTGAACCAGAAAACTGCTGGGTGCGAGGCAGCACACAGGACCCAGGCATGCAGATCAGCTTTCCCATGGGGAACCAGGCCGGCATTGTACCTAGGCTGCTTTCAGGCTTGCTTTTGCTAAAACTTCCTCACCCTGAGTTAAGACTGCAGATGTTTAATGTATATCTCTGAAGCAATACCCTAAAGACTGTGCTAAGCTGTCTGAAGAATGGAAGGTAACCAGATCAATCACTTTTATAGCTCCCTTGCATTTGCAACATTTTTTCTTTGTTATCTATAAGAAGTAATCACTTAAAGTAAGCCTAAGTATAATGAATGAGAACCTTCTTTGACGTAATGTTACTGGAAAGCAATAAAAGCTTATGCAGGCAAGGGTAGAGGGGTGCTTTCCCTCAGAGAGTGACCGTGCCATTCTTTTTCTCCACAGGACTTCTGCAGTCCGTGCGAATTTGTTTGTTGCATCCACATCACACAGACCCCACTGGCTGGAGTTCGCATCAGTGGTGGTCCTGGGAACAATGGGGAAATTAATGCCATCCCCCAATCCTTTGGAAACAACAGGGGTGACTGCCCCACCTCAATGTGAAGGGAAAAAAAAAACTGGGCATTTTTAAACTGCTAAAGCCAGCTAAGCCTGAATCAACCCTGCCTCTCCTCCAGCCTCCTGAAAGTTACGAAGGACAAAAAAAGAAAAAGAAAAAAAAGAAGAAAATCTTGTGTTGTCTACAATTACAAATAATACTGTTTATGTGTATGGTAAAAAATATAAGAACTATCACAAATATTTTTTTAGGATCATGTGGTCTGGAAAAATATTGGCTATAAAGTTGGTTTAAACTTAATTTATATATTTTAAAGTTATTAACAAAATATATATGTATTTGCCTGATTCGCAGAAATAAGCTCATGTTACTTATCTCTGTTACAAATTTGTCGGGAAAATGGCTTGAGTAATAATTTACAATCTCATAAAGTTTTTAAGAACTAATGAATAGGTATAACTAAAATGAAGGACTTTTGATAAAGATTTTCAGTAATAATTATAAATATTCCAAAACATACTTTACAGCCCTGGCTGGTGTAGCTCAGTGGATTGAGTGCAGGCCTGTGAACCAAAGCATTGCCAGTTTGATTCCCAGCCAGGGCACATGCCTGGGTTGCAGGTCAGGTCCCCAGTATAGGGTGTGCTAGAGGCATCCACACACTGATGTTTCATTCCTCTCTTTCTCCCTCCCTTCCCCATCTCTCTAAAATAAATAAATAAAATCTTTTTTAAAAACCCACATACTTTCCAAAGTCTTTGGTGACTTAGAACTTCAGAGTTTTGTTGGATTAAATGATGAAAATTATTAAATATTGAAATATTTTGAAATAACAGGATACTGAAATATTAACTGATCTGACTTTGCCTATTTTGGCTTATCATTGCTGAGAAGCTAGAAAGAGGAGTTGGATTTGTTAATGAATATATCTCATACTTTCTTTG